TTCTTCTAGAGCTGTCCCTAGAACAAGTGTCCCATTGGAAGCTTTCCCTTCAACTCTTGTTCTAGGGACAACCATATCATTTCGAAATTTCCCCTGACTTTCATTTCTTGGTGATAATGATCACCAGGACAAAAAACAGGGCGAATCTCCCCAGTGGGGACACAGAAAGCCAAAAAACCCTATTTGGAATCTGACTCCTCACTACTCTATCTAAAACCAAAAAAAATTTTGAGTATGGATGTATACTAATATCCTCTGGGATAGTCAATATAGGATTCTCTTAAAAAAAAAAAAAAATTGCTGCGAGAATGCCTCAGCATTCGCATGGTCATCATGAATAATGTTGAAAAAAAAAAAAAAAAAAGTTGTGTATGGATATATAGCAATATCCTCTAGGATAGTCAACATAGGAGTCTATTAACCTCCTCGGTGGTATGATTATCTTCGATTTTTTTTGTGTGCTGAAAGCGGTACCATTTTTTTGCATGGAAATATGTAGTTTTTTATTGTAGGCTGTAATTTTTAGGAATAACTCACTGAAATCTGTCCGAACAAGAGTCTAGTAAACATTCTGGATATGATAAAACTTGAAACACGAAATCATAAATTATATTTTAATAAATATTCATAAAAAATAATAATATAATAATATATTTAATTCAATAATATAATAAAAGCAAAAAACACTGAAATTTGAAATATAGCGCCAAGTTCGCACATCGCTGAGCAAAGTCGCAAAATCGTTTTCAGTGTCTGATGACAAATTTCCCCACGAATTATTATCACTCAATTCTGCAAGTGGTTCTGATTTACTATCGCTGTTCTCTAGCCGGTCTAAAACTGCTTTTAAAATAAAAGGGACGCTTTTTGGACGCCATGGACTTTTCTAAGTTTCCAGGCAGAAAGAACAGTCAAAATGCAGGCAGGGCACAGGACAAAGCAGTAGGGACAAAATATATGTGAAATGCATTGAAACCACAATGTTTTACTATATAATAATCATTTTAAAAAAAAATGAAATTTTTTAAAAATTTCAAATTTGCCGCCGGTTCCGGCGCCCGTACGTCCCGACGTCACAGGGACCGGAACACAGAAGCTGCAGGGGACACATCGCGGGAGCAAAGGACAACGTAAGTGCTGCAGGGACTCCCTGAGCAACGCCGCATGGTAAGCCCGAGTGTAGGTCGGGGTTACCGCTCTTGGTACTGAAATTTTACCCCGAGCTACACTCGATAATACCACTGAGGAGGTTAACAAGAAATTGCGGTGACAATACCTCAGCATTTCCACAGTAATAATCCCAATAATGTGTCTAATATAGTTATTTCCTATGAGCTCCATCTAGGGGCCATAATGCAGTATTTTCCTGACTGAGATACAGTTAGGTCCAAATATATTTGGACACAGTCACAATTTTAGTTTTTTCAGGTATTTACCAAAACATATTCAAGCTGCAGTTCTATCATGGATATGGGCTGAAAGTGCACACTCTCAGAAATAATGGAGTAGCCCACACCTGGCCATGAAACAGCTTTTGATTCAATTGTCTTTTCATTGTTAAATTACTTTTGGTCCCTTAAAAAAGGAGGGGTGGCTACTTTTAAGAGCTTTAATTCCTCCAATTTGGATGTACATACCCTCAAATAAAACCCGAGAGTGTGCACTTTCAGCCCATATCCATTATATAACTTTAGCGTGAATGTGTTTTTTGTAAATACCTGAAAAAAAAACTAAAATTGTGCCTGTGTCCAAATATATAAGGACCTAACTGTATTTCAGGAAAATACTGCATTATGGCCACTGGATGGAGCCAACAATCATAGGAAATGAATATTTTAGACACAGTACAGGGATTAATCATGAGGGCTGTGTGAATGAGGTGTTTGCATGGTGATTGTTTGTTATAAATAGACCCCATAGACACCATGGGGTCTATTTATAACAATAGTAATCACAAAACTCCTTACAAGCACTATAAATCTATACTCTGTCTGTTATTTATTATTCTAGGAAGATCAAATCCTTATGTCATTCTATTGATGCTTATCCTTCTATCCAGGGGATAAGTGAATCAGAGGGGTTAATAGTATGCCAATGAACTTACAGAACAGACCAGGATAATTAAGGCTGCTTTGTATTTGTGGCCTTTGCAGACAGACAATTAGCGTTTTGTTAACTTTGACAAGCCACATCTGAATACAGCTGGTATATGCAAGGTGTATCCAGACTGAATAGGAAGTACACTTTACAGCAGGCGTTCCTTCCTCTAGGACTTAATGTTCTTTTGCGTGGAAAGAAATCTGCCAAACATTTAGTGATAGTACTTCTATATTTCTCTCCAACACTTGATTTATAATAAATCCGGAAGGTATAATCCATGTGGGCATTCTACACAAAATTATAGCTTGTGACGTTTTCATTTTTCTTTTAATAAAGTGCTCTAAATATCAAGGTTCCTTTGAAGTTTACGTATTTTATATATATTTTTTTGATTTTTTTTATTGAGTATATAGTAGTTCTTAATAAGGTTTGCAAAATGTGTTAATTTTTCTGGATTATTATTATACTGGAGAAATCCTTGCTTTAGAGCCTTGTGACCACCTTGTTTTTTGAACATTAGACCTAAAAGAGAAGTAGAGATTTTTTTTTTTTGGCCAGTTATGCTTACCCAGGTGGATACAGCATTGGTCTGATTCTGCTTCTATTCTCCGCCTGCTCTAAGCGTGAAAACTCAGCCATCATATGACCAGTGATCACATAGTTACATAGTTAGTCTGGCTGAAAAAAGACAAAAGTCCATCCAGTTCAACCATAGAAAAAAAAAAGTTATAATCCTACAACCACAGTTGATCCAGAGGAAGGCAAAAAACCCAGCAAAGCATGATCCAATTTGCTCCAGCTGAGAAAAAAATTATTTCCTGATCCTCAGAGAGACAATCGGATATTCCCTGGATCAACTTTACCTATAAATGTTTTATCTAGTTATATTCTGTGTATCCAAGGAAGAATCCAGGTCTTTATTAAAGCAATCCACTGAGCTGGCCAGAACCAACTCTTGAGGGAGTCTATTCCACATTTTCACAGCTCTCACTGTGATGTGAAGAAACCTTTCCATGTTTGGAGATTACATTTCTTTTCCTCCAGACGTAAAGAGCGCCCCCTTGTCCTCTGTGATGACCTCAGGGTGAATAACTCTACACCGAGTTCACTGTATGAACCACTGATGTATTATACATGGAGATCATATCCCCCTTATGTATTATACATGGAGATCATATCCCCCTTATGTATTATACATGGAGATCATATCCCCCCTTATGTATTATACATGGAGATCATATCCCCCCTTATGTATTATACATGGAGATCATATCCCCCTTATGTATTATACATGGAGATCATATCCCCCCTTATGTATTATACATGGTGATCATATCCCCCCTTATGTATTATACATGGAGATCATATCCCCCCTTATGTATTATACATGGTGATCATATCCCCCCTTATGTATTATACATGGAGATCATATCCCCCCTTATGTATTATACATGGAGATCATATCCCCCCTTATGTATTATAAATGGTGATCATATCCCTCCTTATGTATTATACATGGAGATCATATCCCCCTTATGTATTATACATGGAGATCATATCCCCCCTTATGTATTATACATGGTGATCATATCCCCCTTATGTATTATACATGGAGATCATATCCCCCTTATGTATTATACATGGAGATCATATCCCCCCTTATGTATTATACATGGTGATCATATCCCCCCTTATGTATTATACATGGAGATCATATCCCCCTTATGTATTATACATGGAGATCATATCCCCCTTATGTATTATACATGGAGATCATATCCCCCCTTATGTATTATACATGGAGATCATATCCCCCCTTATGTATTATACATGGAGATCATATCCCCTCTTATGTATTATACATGGAGATCATATCCCCTCTTATGTATTATACATGGAGATCATATCCCCCTTATGTATTATACATGGAGATCATATCCCCCCTTATGTATTATACATGGAGATCATATCCCCCTTATGTATTATACATGGAGATCATATCCCCCTTATGTATTATACATGGAGATCATATCCCCCCTTATGTATTATACATGGTGATCATATCCCCCCTTATGTATTATACATGGTGATCATATCCCCCCTTATGTATTATACATGGTGATCATATCCCCCCTTATGTATTATACATGGAGATCATATCCCCCCTTATGTATTATACATGGAGATCATATCCCCCCTTATGTATTATACATGGAGATCATATCCCCCTTATGTATTATACATGGAGATCATATCCCCCCTTATGTATTATATATGAGGATCAGGAGCGGAATGACCATTTGAGCACTTGGGCACTGATACCTTTTTTATAGGCTTTTTTGAATGTGGGCAAGGGCACAGAGGCCCCATGATCCCCTATTGCCCGGGGGCCCCATAAGTTGTTAGTCCGCCCCTGATGGAGATCATATCCCCCCTTATGTATTATACATGGAGATCATATCCCCCCCTTATGTATTATATAAGGGGATCATACCCCTCCCCCTTATGTATTATACATGGAGATCATATCCCTCTTAGGTATTATACATGGAGATCATATCCCCCCTTATGTATTATACATGGTGATCATATCCCCCCTTATGTATTATACATGGTGATCATACCCACCCCCCTTATGTATTATACATGGTGCTCATATCCCCCTTATGTATTATACATGGAGATCATATCCCCCTTATGTATTATACATGGAGATCATATCCCCCCTTATGTATTATACATGGTGCTCATATCCCCCCTTATGTATTATACATGGAGATCATATCCCCTCTTATGTATTATACATGCAAATCATATCCCTCCTTATGTATTATACATGGAGATCATATCCCCCCTTATGTATTATACATGGAGATCATATCCCCCCTTATGTATTATACATGGAGATCATATCCCCCCTTATGTATTATACATGGAGATCATATCCCCCCTTATGTATTATACATGGAGATCATATCCCCCCTTATGTATTCTATATGGGGATCATATCCCCCCTTATGTATTATACATGGAGATCATATCCCCCTTATGTATTATACATGGAGATCATATCTCCCCTTATGTATTCTATATGGGGATCAGGGGCGGACTGACCATTTGAGCACTTGGGCACTGCCCGAGGGCCCTGATACCTTTTTTATAGGCTTTTTTGAATGTGGGCAAGGGCACAGAGGCCCCATGATCCCCTATTGCCCGGGGCCCCATAAGTTGTTAGTCCGCCCCTGATGGAGATCATATCCCCCCTTATGTATTATACATGGAGATCATATCCCCCCTTATGTATTATACATGGTGATCATATCCCCCCCTTATGTATTATACATGGAGATCATATCCCCCCTTATGTATTATACATGTTGATCATATCCCCCTTAATCTCCTCTTCTCAAGAGAGAAAAATTCAGTTCCTCTAATCTTTCCTCATAGCTGAGCTCCTCCATGCCTCTTATCAGTTTGGTTTCCCTTCTCTGTACTTTCTCCAGTTCCCCAATGTTCTTTTTGTGAACTGGTGCCCAAAACTGAACTGCATATTCTAGATGAGGTATTACTAATTATTTGTACCGGGGGAAATGATATCTCTCTCTCTGGAGTCTATACCTCTTTTAATACAAGAGAAGATTTTGCTCACTTTAGAAACCGCAGCTTGGCATTGTATGCCATGATTAAGCTTGTGATCTACCAGAACCCCCAGATCCTTCTCCAACATTGATTCCCCCAGTTGTACCCCCCTAATATGTATGATACTGAGCCTCAGTTCTCTCAGCCGCTCTCAGCAGAGAGCGGTGACTGTCAGTCACCGCTCTCTGCTCTGCCCCAACCCCGCAAACAGCACTCCTGTGATCCACAGAAGATGTACAGCCAAAAGAGCTTTGGCTGTACTTCTCGTTTAAGCCTCCTACACACGCTGAGAATATTGGAGGAAAAATACCATATTCGGATCAATCATTCGATAATCTGATCAATAGTATATAGTTTTCAAGAGCCGATCATGACAGTCTATGCAAAATTATTCAAAGGGACAAGCACGAAAATTTTTCAAATACAATAACAGTATTTGTCTGTAAAAATAGGGTGACCAAGACAGTCTATGCTCAGAAACGAAGGAATACATTACATCACTTTCGAAGTTGTATTCTGTCCTACAAGAATTTTCATAACTTAATAATTTTCGATATGAGACTAGCATGCAAACAAAACAAAGATCACTTGTCCGATTTTCTTGTGTGTACGGGACTTTAGACTGAGGACTCTAAAGTAAAAGCAAGAGGAGGGGCCGGAAGAACAGCATTAAGGACTACCCCTCCTGTAAAACCATCCTGCAAGTCCCCTTTGTTCCCTTCTCCCCTTTCCTTCATTTCTATGGACAATGCACATCCAGTCGGTCTAGGCCAAGCATGGTTGCCATATATGCATTTTGGCAGTATAGTTCCTGTGTTCGAAAAATCAGGCTTTATTACTGCTCACCGCTACACTTCAGGTGACCTTGCTACTGTTTATGTCTATCTAGATGCCAAGTGTTATGCTCAGTTCCTATCACTAATCACCCTGTATGTTAAATTGTGTTATTACCATTTGTAATGGAACCGACCCAGTCTGCACTTGGGTACTTCCGTTTTAATACTGCTTTCCCGTCCGAAAACTGACCACAGACACCACAGCCGATCAAACAAGACTAGACGACACCAGTCTGTCTGAACATGGAACTTTTTATTTGAAACTTGAACTGGCTTTTTATACACTCATGAGGCAATCCCCCCTCCCTACATAATGTCACAATCTACACTTAGCAACAAGAGACACACAGGTATTCAAACTTCACAACAGCAGACAGTCACATCAGGAGGGAAGGCTGCTGGAGACACTCCCCACTAAGCTGATACACAAAAACACATACATCCCATAATAGTTTGCTCCCAAGCAAGACACACAATAGAACAATGGGATGCAACCACGTGGCATTAAACAATCAACAACCCCCTACCCCATTATTAGGACAGATCACCCTGTACCCCTAACAGGCACAGAGTGACTTACACATAATAGGGATATGGGGAGCTGAGACAGGGGTCTCCCCACCTCTCTAAAGTGAGCTGGGTTCCATGGGCCCCCCACCCAAAGTGACTCCCGTCACACAATTGTTAGTCCATTTCTATGCTTACTTTGTTACCAACCTTATCAGATGATGATATATTAAGTTCGCCTTTACTAACTGGCTCGCTTCCATTTCTTTGATATAGTACTACTATTGGGTACTAAGTATTACTTTCAATTATTTTCTGTGATATTGCATGCTTTGTACACTCAACCTAGTGTGTCAGAGGGTCTGAAGTTCTTGAGGTGGTCGAGGCAAAGAACAGGGAACCCTTCCTAACTAGCAGCTCTTACAGGGGTAGTGCTACAGTGGTTTCCAGGTATAGGGGTGCATGTGACCGTCTCCCATTACGCAGACCCAAACATTGTCACATGATGGAGGGGGTGACATCACTGTACGCTTTGGTCTCCTGCATCAACAGACATTGACAGCTTCAATGGAGGAAGCAATGGCGGGGATTCCTGAAAAGGTGAGCGTTATTGACCTGAATGGGTAAAGTGACACTTTTTATCTTTAGAAACCCCACCAATAAGCCAAAGAGCTCCCTAAAGGGTCCGCGGTGAAAAGTGGTATTTACTCAGAACACTCTCATTTGGTAAAATCTTATTCCCATACATTTATATATAACTTTAAATCTCCCTACTTTATACTCCAGTGGAAGAATTCACATGAACTACAATAATGAAAATATGACACAGCAAGTAAATAAAAAATGTAAAAACATAGAAAATTGAATCTCACATTATTCTTTCCATTTCTTATTTTTGGTAAACAGAAGAAATGTATTGATTTTTTTTCTGTGGAAAAGGTCCCTCTGGGCTGCAATTATGTGATACACGTGGAGCACATGTGTTGTTTACAGTTCCAGCTGCGATTACCCAGCACGCTGCAGCCTTGAACACAATTGTGCAGTATATAGGAACATGTTTTGTATTGTATATGCGACAAATGACACTTTACTGGTGAAGGTCAAGTGTATATTGTATATGCTATACCAATTATCGGCTTGTCTTTCCTTCAATGGAAAAATAAATTGCATTTGCAGCTGGGGGGGGGGGGGGCATATTCTGTATATTATAAAAAAATGATTATAATAAACAGAGAGAGCATTTATATTCTTTGCAGCAAAGAGAAAATGTGCTGATAGCAATAACAATTGTTTCAGATCATTGAGAACTGCAAGGGTTCAGTGTAACTCATGGTGTCAGTGTCTTGGCCAACCATAGACCTACAAGGGTGGTCCATGAACAGGGATATTCTGCTTGAACTTGACGTTTTCTATTCATGTCAGCTTGGAGAAGACTGGGAAAGAGAGATTGTGGCAGTTGTTTAAAGTGACTCCGTCATGAAAGAAGTACGACGCTCCGGCCACTCATTTCCACATATTTTGGACATGTGCTAACATTGGCCAATACTGCTCAGGGATACATGTTTTTCATAGTCACAACTTTCAATTTTCTGCTTCACTTCAGCCACAAATCCTATTTTTTTTTGGTGCCATAAACTATTTTGTTCCCCACTGCACATACCAGGATAATGTTCCGATTGATTCTCCTTTATGCACAGCAACTCGTCACGTTCCACTAGACAGATAATCAGCCGCCTAGGAGTTGACAGTTTATCACGAAAATCATTGATTTCCCACCCCGATTCAGATTGCCCTCCAAAATTCTCTTAATATGGCAATGCTATCTTGATTGTCCTGGCTCTGTAATTTATAGGATTATTCATGTCATTTTTTTTTTTGTTCAGAAATGGTTAATTTGATGTAAGTCAGTGGGGAGAGAAAAGCTGGCCATACACTGATCCCCACTGAGCTGGCCGAATTTCAATCAGTTTGTGGCCATTCCTACTTGACAGAAGTTGATTGATCGATGTCTGTTAAAGGTCATGCTGGCGGGTGCAGTTCTCAGAATACAATGCATCAATGGGGTTGGGGGCTGGGGGGATTCCTCCATCTACTATTTATTTATTTTTTTATTACAGGTACTTATATAGAGCTGTTAATTTACGCAGCGCTTTACACATATATATTGTACATTCACATCAGTCCCTAACCCTCAAGGGGCGTACAATCTAAGGTCCCTAACCTACATTCATACATACACATACTAGGGACAATTTAGACAGGAGACAATTAACCTCCCAGCATGTCTTTGGAGTGTGGGAGGAAATTGGAGTACCTGGAGGAAACCCACGCAGGCACAGGGAGAACATGCAAACTCCAGGCAGGTGGTGTTGTGGTTGGGATTCGAACCAACGACCCTAGTGCTGTCGGGTGGAAGTGCTAACCATCTACTAACTTTGAAACTTAAAGTAGAACTAAAGGCAAAATTTTTTTTATAGAGTAAAGGAGGGTTATAACCTCTGCCAGGTTTTTTTTGGCCACCTATGTCCCATTGGGGAGATTTCTCTTCACTTCCTATCCCATAGCCAAAACAAGAAGTGAAGAAAATCCCTTTTTATCCCCAGGGTCACTAGAACTAGTATCCCTATTGGATGACTTTTCCTCTATTACTGTTTTGGGGACAATCCAAACTGTAGAATTTTCTTTCACTTTCAGCAATAAAGGTCACCAGGATAAATAGAGAGGATGAACCTCCCTATCATGGGCACAAACCGCAGTAAAGCAGTACAGTGAAGGTACTGTATGTGGTGTTCCCTGCGCCCTGCTGCACACATGGGCATGGCTAAAGTTTGCTTAATATTGGGCGTGGCTTAGAGGATTATGAATAAATAGAGTCTAAATCTGCATATGGTGTACATTGTACACAATCTGCAGTCTTTGTACCCACATTACACTAGATAATTACTGTGCTATGAGAGAGAGACTTGATTACATAAATCTAAAGCAGCAGTCTTCAAACTGCTGCCTGTGGGCTGGATGTGGCCCTGTGCTTGCCTTTATCTGGCCCTTGGGACAGCACCATTCCATCCACTGGTACCAACGATGGAGCACCATTTCTCTCACTGACACCAATGATATGACACTATTCCTATCTTAAATACCAACAATGTGGCATCATTCCTCAACAATGTGGTACTATTCCTTCCACTGACACCAATGCTTGGACACCCTTTTTCCCACAGACACCAATGATGCGGCACTATTTCTCCCACTGATACCAATGATGGGGCACCATTCCTCCCACAGACACAATGATGGGGCACTATTCCTCCCACTGATACCAATGATGGGGCACTATTCCTCTCACTGATACCAATGATGGGGCACTATTCATTCCACTGATACCAATGATGGGGCACTATTCCTCCCACTGACACCAATGATGGGGCACTATTCCTCCCACTGACACCAATGATGGGGCACTATTCATTCCACTGATACCAATGATGGGGCACTATTCCTCCCACTGACACCAATGATGGGGCACTATTCCTCCCACTGACACCAATGATGGGGCACTATTCCTCCCACTGACACCAATGATGGGGCACTATTCCTTCCACTGACACCAATGATGGGGTACTATTCCTTCCACTGATACCAATGATGGGGTACTGTTCTTCCTTTCAATATCAACAATGGGGCACTAATCCTTCCACTGATACTAATGATGGGGCACCATGCTTCCCACAGACACCAAAGATGGGGTACTGTTCTTAGTCTGAATGTCAACAATGGGGCACCATTCTTCCCACTGATACCAACAATGGAGCACTATTCCTGCAACTAATATCAACAGTGGGGCACTGTTTTTCTAACTAATACCAACAAAGGTGCAACATTCCTCCTACTGATACCAACAATGGGGCAATATTCCTTCAACTAATACCAACAAGTGGGCACTATTCCTCTAAATAATACCAACAAAGGGGCACCATTCCTCCTGCTGACACCATCAATGGGACAATATTCCTCCAACTAAAACCAAGCAGTCAGCAGTTTAGGGAGTGTACTCTGTCATTCTCACTTCAATGCAGCCAATCAAGAAAGAGCTGGCACATCACATGACTGTATGACAACCTCCTGATTTATGAATGGCTACAAGTTACAATGACAGAGTACAATTACTAAATGGCTGACTGGTGCTGATAACCATGTTGGCTGTCATTTCTCCTGCCCTGCACCGCTATGCTGGAGGGTTGTGGGATGTGTTCAGATCTGTGGAATTTGTATCAAAATCTGGGGCAGTCCCACAGAATCTGGGACTGTTGAAAGACATGTAAATGCATGTATTAAAATTTTTGATGTATTACAGCCTGATTAACCACTTGCTCTCTTGAGGATTTACATTCCTTCCTGACCAGGTCATTTTTTGCGATACAGCGCTGCATTACTTTAACTGACAATTGCACGGTCATGCAACGCTGCACCCAAACAACATTTATGTCCTTTTTTTCCCCACGAATAGTGCTTTCTTTCGGTGGTATTTGATCGCCTCTGCATTTTTTATTTTTGCGCTATAAAAAAAAAGACTGACCATTTTGAGAAAAAAACAATATTTTTGACTTTTTTGCTATTAAACATGTCAAATAAAAAAAAAATAAAAAAATAAAATTTCGCCATATTTAAGCCAAAATGTATTCTGCTCCATGTCTTTGCTAAAAAAAAATCCCAATATGTGTAAATAAATTGGTTTACATGAAAGTTATAGCATTTACAAATGGTGGTATATATACTGGGATTTTAAAATTTTTTTTTTACTAGTAATGGCGGCGATAAGCGATATATAGCAGGACTGCGGGACTATAGCGGGCATTCTGACACTGGGGGGAACTGACTTGGTGTCACTGACACCCAACACAGTGATCAGTGCTAATAAAAAGCACTGATACTGTACTAATGGCACTTTGCAGGAATGCGTTAACGTGGGGTGATCAAAGGGTTAACTGTGTGCTGTTTTACTATGGGGCTGTGTCTGTGTGCTTCACTGTAAGCACACTGCTTTGCACAGTCATGCAAAGCAGCGTGCAGGAGTTGCTAGGGGAACTGTATTGTTTACAAACAGTTCTCCCCCCTCTATCAGAGATGCTCGGCAATCACCGGGCGCCGGCGAGTAATTACCGGCCGTGACCTAGTGATTGACAGCCGCATCCGCGAATGGCAGCGCGGGTAGGGTGCGCGCATGCCCTCTACTCGGAAATGCAACGTCATGTTTATATATGTGATTTTGCGCACACGTGTTGCCCTGTAGCAGTACTTCTGCTATAGGGCAGACAAGAAGCAGTTGATGAACTTTGTTTTACTACTGCTGTATGTATTAAAAACATCAATAAATAAAACAATAAGACCCCTTTCACACAAGTGGACCAAGCAGGTCCACCTGTCCGTTTTTCAGGCGGACCTGATTGGACGCTCCATTGCTCTATGGAGCGGTGGGTCTGCATCTGATCCGATCCGATCCTGTCTGTTAAAACAGACGGATGAGGATCCGTTCCCCATCCATCTGGTGGATCGGATCAGATGACAGTTGGATGGAAACGGACAGGTGGTCCGTATCCATCTGACAGCCCATAAAGGACAGCAGGCTGTGTCCATGTCCGCTCTCCATACGCGGTGTGGGCACGGACCTGTCATCCGCTTGCTTAGTGGGGATCCAATGATGGGTCCACCCTGCGTGAAAGGGGCCATAAAAGTACACCTGACATGAGAGGAAGGCCGCTTTTCAATAAGACATTCTGTCAGTCATTTTTTGATTGATGGATTAAAAATGGACAGCAATGTATCTTTATGGGTGGCCAGATGTAAGCAGATGTGTATCCATTTACATCTGGGTCTGTTCAGTTTCGTTGGACTGAATGCAATGAATTTATTTGGATAGACGGACGTATGTTGGCTACTCACTGGGATTACATGGGTCCGTTTTTTCCTTCATCCCAAAATGAAGGAATACAATGGGACCAACTCAAATGTCATATATGTGACATCCATTCTGATTCAACTCAACAAGGGATCAGTCTATAGGTCTACTGCCGAAATGAAATGGAGCCACCTGTGTGAGAGGGGCTGAGGTAGGGGCTGAGATAGAGAGACATATATGGAGATATCTACTTTAAATACTTGTTCCAAATTCTGGTGACTCATGTACTGAAGTCAAACCATAAGCATGAAAGCCATTTATTTTGCATTTTCAGAAGAAGAGGTCAGCAATGGTAGTTTATAAGTTCTCTCATGACAGGTCTCCTTTAAAACTTGTGACATCAGAAGTGCTAGGATATTTTACCCCATAATCCCTTGCAGGATCGTGGTGAATTGGAGTGGCCTTTTTTTAAATGTTGCACAGAATTGCGCTGGGTCCATAAGAACCCTGTATTGGTTCTAGAATTAAGCCTTAAACTCAAATTGCTTACTTTGATTTCACTGCACACTGTGAGCTCCTCACAATGTACAATAGAAGCTGCAGCAAGTCAGACAAAGCCCACCTCAGCATCTGGCTGGAGGATCATCTAGCCCTTTCCACCCCAACCAACTGTACCTGGCCCATCACTTTCATTCATTGGACTTCAGGTCTTTCAATTATGGTTGCCCAGCTTTACATGTGGGCATTACCTAGAGCGATCTGCATGCAAATGAAGTCTGCCCTGGAACGTCCACTCCTCCAGACTGACATCGGTCCATTATGGCTTTTTGATATGTGCACATCTCCTCCCAAGGGCTAGTCCACTGCTTTTATCAGGGCTGGGGCACTTGAGAGGAGTACTGAGGCAGGGCGTTGTGATGTTTTCAGGTAGCTATGTGCAACACCCTGCCAGTCTCTCTCACAAGCCATGAACTGCCTGCATTGCATAAAGCAGTATAGAGACCCAGTGATGACATCACTGGGTCTAAAATAAGGTATGTCATTAAAACAGAGATTTTCTTTTCAAATAATCATTCGTATGCTGATGAGGGGGAAGAGAGGAACCAAAGAAGCAAACTATAGGAAGATTAAACTACAGTTCTCAAATAAATCTGTAGCGCTACCTTAGCAGGAGCCACTGGTTATGTCAGGTCCTCTGTTCCTACTTTGACCTAGGGAAAAACCTCGGGTATACACGTCAATATGGAGAGATTAATCATTTTTGTTAATAATTTAAGGTCGCCCTGAAATTAAACCTGAGACTTTGTGGTAAAGTAACAAAGTACATAATGTTCAGACAAGCAGAGTATAACTGAGGATTTCTTTTCAGAATACACTAGAATAAAGCTTTACTTAAAAAAAGTTTTGATTAGAGTGCTTCCTTATGTTCAAACAGGCAGCATAACCTGTAGCTCTCTTCACGTAATGAGCAGCATAGGGCAACTACAGACTGGTACCAACGCAGAGCCACATTGCCTAATGGCACTTGAGGTGAAAGAGCTAAGCCTAGGCTTTCCTGATACAGAGAAATCTAAATGTATTCAAAACTGTTCTCAATAAGTATTCTGCCAGCTATGTTGGGGCCCTTGCAGACATTGGTGCGCTTGTTAAAGGAGGGGAGATATCCATAAACAGTGAGTCAGTTCTGAAAAACAATGAACTTCTTGGAGCACATGAGGAAGTGGCCAGACAAGGGTTAACACTCCGAGATCATGATGGTTGTATATATATATATATATATATATATATATATATATATTGACCAGGGAGACTGTCAGTGTTCAGTACTAAGCAGTTTGGGAGATGTCAGTTGGGATAAAAGCCAGTAAAATTTCTTCAGGCAATTAGGCACAAAGTCAATATAAATGCGCGGATACCACCTTATAAGGATAGACGTCCAGTCCAGGGGCGGACTGACCATTTGGAAACCGGGCCCTGCCCGAGGGCCCGGGGTCTGTAAGGGGCCCCATGAGATGCCCTGGTACCTTTTTCATAGGCTTTTTTGAGTTTTGGCAAGGACACAGGGGCCCCATGATCCCCTATTGCCCGGGGGCCCCATGAGTTGTCAGTCCGCCCCTGGTCCAGTCACACTGCTGTTGGCCTCCCCCTCTGATGAAGTGCCGTAGCACGAAAGGCCTCAGGAGGAGCCAACAGCACGTGTGACGTCATCCACCGCCGCGACCACGAAGAGGTCCGGCGGCCATTTTCCTTGCTGGGTCAATACACCATTCACTTCCATTAATGCTGGCAGTTTGTTTACCTGTACGTGTACCCATGGATTTTACTGCATGTGACCAATAAATAGTTTAAACCTACTACACTATTGGCACTCCCTCTTTGTCTTGACCCTCCATTGAGGGTTTCAGATTCACAACAGCTGGTTTCCAGTTCATCCTATATCCAGAAGAGAGAGCCCATTCATCTAGGCCAGTGGTCGGCAAGCCGCGGCTCGCGAGCCACATGCGGCTCTTTACACATTTTAATGCGGCTCTTCTGTGTGCCGGGCGCCTGCTCCCCTCCCTCCTCTCGGGCGGCCGTCCCAAAAGTCAGGACTCTGCAGCTAGCCCAGCAATGGGCAAACTATGGCCCGCGGAGCGTGGCAAACATTGGCTGTCAGGATGTAGGCGGGGCAGCCAGGATGTAGGCGGGGCAGCGTGACGAACTCCTCTCCTCTCACAGTCCGCCCTGAAGACCGGAACGGCGCGGGAACACGGCGAGAAGAACGTGCGGAGCAAAGGTAAGTGAATTGATACAATATGGGGAATGAATTACTATAGGGGGGATGAATTACTATATGGGGGATGAATTACTATAGGGGGGATGAATTACTATGGGGGATGAATTACTATATGGGGGATGAATTACTATATGGGGGATGAATTACTATGGGGGATGAATTACTATATGGGGGATGAATTACTATGGGGGATGAATTACTATATGGGGGATGAATTACTATATGGGGGATGAATTACTATGGGGGATGAATTACTATATGGGGGATGAATTACTATGGGGGAAGAATTACTATGGGGGATGAATTACTATGGGGGATGAATTACTATGGGGGATGAATTACTATATGGGGGATGAATTACTATGGGGGATGAATTACTATATGGGGGATGAATTACTATGGGGGATGAATTACTATATGGGGGATGAATTACTATGGGGGATGAATTACTATGGGGGATGAATTACTATATGGGGGATGTATTTTCAGTTTTAAAAATGTGGCTCTCAAAATAAATTTCAATCGTGGTTTTGGCGAGATTTGGCTCAGTTGAAAAAAAAGGTTGCCCACCACTGATCTAGGCTGTCCGTTCACTGGTTAACCCTTTGAGGACCGTAAGGTTTTGGAACGCCAAAAGAATCAGTTTTTTTGTTTTTTTAAAGTTCGTACACTTCAGTTGCTGTAACTAAGCCATTTCATGAAATAATTGGAAAAAAGCTAGATCCATTTGTTGTTTGTTGATAAGAACTAATATTTTGACTCAAACCAAAAAAAAAAAAAAAGAGTTTTAAGTTCTTAATCAGATGATACACGCAATTACAAACATGGGACAAATACGTCCCTTGGTCCTCAAAGGGTTAAGGGGGATCTCTAAGTTCTACTGTATATTACTACACTCAAGGCTGATGATTTACCTCTGAGGGATGAACCGTGTGATTGCTGGCTACCTGGATCGATGGTCATATACATGCGCATTTACAATGCGCGGTCGGTGAGTGCGCATTTTTTCTATATAGTTCCATTCACCAACACATTGCAAGGAAGAGTTTTTTTTCTTCAAGGTTTCCTTCAGGGTCTCTATATAAGATCCATATGAAGATTGCACAAACTATTCTTTTATCTTAGATTGCAGCGCTGCACTTTATTTTCTATAATATAAATAATCACCATGATTTACAAGCCCACTCACCATCTCCTCTGTACCTGAAGCGTCCTTGTTTAGATGGGTGGGTCCCTTTAAGATGAAGTTGGATCCTAGGCAGCTTCCTGTAGCATTCTGACAAGTGGTGGATTCTGCGATGCAGTTGTGAACCTCGTTGGGACTCGCCGCAATCAGCTAATCTGTAATTGTTCCAACGGGGGATCCGGAGTGCCAAAGAACAGGCCCCAATGCTGGAAGTTGAAATTTAATTGACATAGAGGACAACACGCTGTGTCTGTGTCCGCTCGGAATAAGTGGAGCAGACACGGACCACACATCTGCTTGATCAGCGGGCAGATCCCGCCTGGGAAAGCGGATCTGCTGATGGGAGCACCCTGTGTGAAAGGGGCCTAATAAGTACATGTCCCCATTGGAAGATTTCACCTCTGTTCTTGTATGGGTGACAGCTCAAACTTTTGGATTGCCTTTACTTTCAAACCAGGTGACAGTGGTCATCAGGGCAAATAGAGGGGGAATCTCCCTAGTGGGGGCAGATGGTAATAAAAGCCTGTACTAACCCTGCACTACTCTATCCAAAACCCCAAAAAATTGTTTTGGCTTTCAATGCACTGTAAGCTAAAAGACTGGTTTGTATTTATTTCTAAAACAATAAGAGATCCAAGGGCTGCGGAGATCTGTTTTAAGGGATTAATTAGTATAATTTAATTGAGGCAGTAATTATCTCTCAAGAGCCGAAGGCTTATTCCGCAGAGAATTTCTGTTTATGAGAAGAAAACATTGCAGACGCCTTATTTTTTTAATAAAGGTGTTTATTTGCATTTATGGTTGTATAGAGTAGTGATTCTCAACCTTACTTTTAGTCACGGAACTTTTTGAAAGTATTCAAAATCTCAAAGTACCAAATGGGGTCATCCATTACAACAGAAGTTCCCCCATTCACATCAGAGTGATCAGTTGCCCCCTCTTTCTTCATTCCCCCTTCCCTTACATATCAGAGTCCTCAGTCCTATCTTCCCTTTCAATTCAGAATCCTAGGACCACCTGCCTTTCACATCACAGTCCTCATTCCCCCTTGATTAACCGCTGGATTGTTTTTACTGGCAGCAGGAGAGGACATCCCCCTCCCTGTCGCCCACCGGCTCCTCTCGTGTGATCAGGGACCCTGGTTGTGATCTGCAGGCATCACAGAGCTGGCCATGGACCATATAGCTCCCGGCTATCTCTGATCCTGGGAGGCCAGAGGCAAGGCCATGAGGTCACTTCCGTTCTAGCAGATGTAAACACTTTTCCCCAGAAAACAGAGATTTATTATTATTATTATTATTTTTTTTTTTTATTCTCATGCTTTCCAGGGTAGAGAAGATATCTGGGGGTCCTATTGACCCCAGATGTCTCCATAAAGAGGACCTGCGATGCTTTATTTCTATCACAGGGGATGTTTACATTTCTTGTGATAGGAATAAAAGTGGTGAAAAAATTAAAAGGGACATTGTAAAGGAAAAAAAATTAAAAAGTACCCCCATCCCCCCCATGCTCGCTCGCAGTGGTGAACGCATACATTGGTCGCACACGCATATGTAAATGGTGTTCGCACCACACATGTGAGGTATCGCCGCAAAATGTTATAGTGAGAACAGTAATTCTAGTGCTAGAGCTCCTCTGTAACTCTAAAATGGTAACCTGTAAACATTTTTAAAGCGTCGCCTATGGAGATTTTTTATCAAGTACTGTAGTTTGGTGCGAGTGTGCACAATTTTAAAGCAAGACATGTTAGGTATCTATTTACTCTGCATAACATCATCTTTTATATTTGACAAAAAATGGGTTGTATAATGTGTTTTTCTTGCATTAAAATTCATTTATGTGTATTTTTTAAAAAAAAATACTGTATGACATAAAAAATTGCAACACCCACCATTTTATTCTCTAGGGCATCTGCTTAAAAATATATATAATATTTGAGAGTTCTGAATAATTTTCTAGCAAAAAAAAAAGCAGATCTTTATATGTAGGAGAGAAATGTCAGAACTGGCCTGGGCAGGAAGAACCCTCACCTTGTAAAACAACCCATTCAGTTTAAAATAGAAATGAAAGGCAAAATATCTGTGTATAGATATAAAAAAAGCCATTATAAACCCCTTGTTTTCTTTTTTTTGTTGTGATCACATAATCTCTGTTCTCAGCTGCATAAGGGGCTTAAAGGATAAGTTCAGCTTTCAAAAAAAAATAATGCAGGTAAAAAAATGTGCAATTATTATTTTTTTTTTTGTTTTGGGAGCCTGTAAAGCATTGCACCAGCGATCTGAAGACCAGTCAATGTCAGTCATTGAGAACTACAAGCCGACGGCCGCAAAGGCTGCTGGGACTTGTAGTTTTCTCATTCACAGAACACTGTGAATGAGTGATGCGGCCGGGTGGAGCCCGACATGGCTGTGTTTTTCTTTTAAGTTGAGAAGGTCCTCTGTTGTCAAAATGGGAGATCGGGGGTGGGGTCCATTCGTAACATGTTACATGTTGCACCCTGAACATGGGTGTAACCAGGGACAGAATGACCATTTGGGAACTCGGGCACTGCCCGAGGGCCCAGGGTCAGTAGGGGGCCCCATGAGATACCCCTTGGTACCTTTTCATAGGCTTTTTTGAGTGTGGGCGAGGACACAGGGGCCCTATGATCCCCTATTGCCCGGGGGCCCCATGAGTTGTCAGTCCGCCCCTGGGTGTAACATGTAACAAAAGGACATTTTTCCTTTAAAAATGTGGGAGGGGAGAAACAGCTGTACACTGATCTTCACAGTGAATGGCTGTGTGTGTGTGGGGGTGTCGGCACAAATCTTGGCCACTGAAGGACACGCAGGCTGTTCTCCCAGCACAGGCAGAAAACTGACCACACTGATTTAAACACTCATCTTAAACATTTAATTCTGAAAATATCATTATCCCCTTCGTGCCTAAGGGTAAAACCAATGCCTAAGCACAATTTTGCAACTTTTGTAAAACCATACAACTACTTTGTTCATCCAGATGGATTATACCTTGTTTTTTTTCAGGACAAATTTGGCTTTCATTTGGAGGTAAATGGTAATGGATATCTCCTGAATTTTTATTTATTTATTTATTTATTATCAAAGGAAAACTGTCCCAAAATAGTGAAAAAAAAACATT